TTATGATCATCATGTCTTCCTCATTGACATATACAGTATCCCTCTTTATATCTGGTAATCCCCCTGGTCTTGAAGTCTACTTTGTCTGAATGTCAGCAGGATTTTTTATGCTTCCTATTTGCTTGGTGTATCCATTCTAACCCTCTTGCTTGCAACCTTTATATTTAAAGTACCTCTCTTGTAGGTAGCATATAGTTGAATTTTTAAAAAAGACTTTATTTTTTACAGCAGTTTTAAGGTCACAGAAAAATTGAGCAGGCAGTAAAGATAGCCCCTGCATCCCCACATACAGCCCCACCTACTATCAATATCCCACTCCAGAGTGGTACATTTGTTACATTAACATACCATCATTACACAAAGCCCATAGTTACATTAGGGTTCACTCTTTGTTGTACATTCTGTGGATTTTGACAAATGTATAATGGTATGTATCCACCATATTAGTATCATACAGAGTAGTTCACCGCCCTACAAATGCTCTATGTTCCTGCTATTCAGCCCTTCCTCCTCTCTAACCCCTGGCAACAACCACTGGATTTTTTAACTATCACTATTGTTTTACCCTTTCCAGAATATTAGAAAGTTGGAAAGATTGGCTTCTTTAACTTAGTAATAAGCATTTAAGGTTCCTTCTTTTCTTTCCATGGCTTGATAACTCACTTCTTTTTAGCACTTAATCACATTCCATTGTGATATATCCATATCACTGTTTATCCATTCACCTGAAGGGCATTTTGGATGCTCCCAACTTTTGGCAATTAAGAACAAAACTATAACCATCCATATGTTGAGTTTTGTGTGGACACAATTTTTCAGTTCATTTGGGTAAATGCCAAGGAGTGTGATTACTGGTTCATATGGTAAGATTAGGTTTAGTTTCTTTTTGTTTAGGTTTAGTTTTGTAAGAAACTGACACCTTGTCTTCCAAAGTGGCTGTACTGTTTTGCATTCTCACCAGCAATGAATGAGTTCCTGTTGTTCCCCATCCTTGTCAGTATTTGATGTCATCAGTGTTTGGATTTTCACCATTTTAATAAGTTATAATGGTATCTCAGTGTTTTAATTTGCAGTTCCCTAAGGTAGAATGTTGAACATCTTTTCATATGCTTATTTACCATCTGTATGTCTTCTTTCATGAGGTATCTATTCAGATCTGTTGCCCATTTTTCAATCAGGTTGTTTACTTGTTGAGTTTTAAAAGTTCATAGATAATCCTTTATCAGATATAGTTTTGCAAATATTTTCTCCAAGTCTGTGGTTTCTCATTGTCTTGACAGTGTCTTCCACAGAGCAAAAGTTTTTAACATGATTAAGTCCAAATTCTCTATTTATTTCACAGATCATGCCTTTGGTGTTGTATCTCAAAGGTGATGGCCAAACCCAAGGTCATCTAGACTTATCTATATTTAACTCCTAAATGCTATCTTCTTGGAGTCTTATAATTTCATGTTTTACACCTAGGTCTGTGATCCATTTTGAGTTAATTTTGTGAAGGATAGAAGGTCTGTGTCTAGATTTTTTTTTTTTTTAACATGTGGCTATATGGTTGTTCCAGCACATGCTGAAAAGATTATCTTTGCTTCACTGGATTACCTTTGCTCCTTTGTCAAAAATCTGTTGACTCTGTTTGTGTGGCATGAATCTTTTTAACTAGCCTGCCTTTTAAGCTGAAAATTTTAGTCCATTTCCTTCCAAATTTTTGATATGTAAGTTTAAGCCAGCTGTTCACCGTTTTCTAATTGTCCCATTTTCTTTTTTCTTCCTATATTCTTCCTTTCCTGCTGTTCTATGGGTTCAATGTGTCAAACTCCTTATTGTTTTTAAGACATACTTTATCTTTTCCCCCATTTTTCAGATTGGACAGATCTATAGATGTATGTTCAAGTTCATTAATCCTTGAGTTTACTTTTTTCTTTACAGTTTTCATTGCTCTGATGAGATTCTCTACTTTTTCAGTCTTTATCACTTTTTTTTTTTTTTTAAAGATTTTATTTGACAGAGACACAGTGAGAGAGGGAACACAAGCAGGGGGAGTGGGAGAGGGAGAAGCAGGCTTCCTGCCAAGCAAGGAGCCCGATGCGGGGCTCGATCCCAGGACCCCGGGACCATGACCTGAGCCAAAGGCAGACAATGACTGAGCCACCCAGGTGCCCCTTCATGTTCTTGAACATAAACAGCTTTATAGTTAAGTTGTGTTAATTACCAAATGCTGGGTCATTTGGGAGTCCATTTCTAATAACTTTTTTTGGACATGGGGCACACTTTCCTGCTTTGAATAGCAAGTAATTTTTTATTCTAGGATAGATATTGTGAATAATACCCTTGAAGGAGTCTGGATTATGTCATCTTCCTTTAAATGGTATTTATTCTCCATTTGAACTTAGTCCAATATGGTCTATGGCTGGTTAGCCTGTTTTTGTGAAGTTTTATTGTAACATACCCACTGCCCACTTGTTTACTTTTTTTTTTTTTTTTTGAGAGAGTGTGTGGACAAGCATGGGGAGGGGCAGAGGGAGAAAGAATCTCTTAAGCAGGCTCCACGCCCAGTGTGGAGCCCAACCCAGGGCTTGATCTCACAACCCTACATCATGACCTTAGCCAAAATCAAGAGTCAGACACTTAACCGACTGAGCCACCCCTCTATGGCTACTTCTGCACTATAAGAGCAGAACTGCATAGTTGTGACACAGACCATATGGCTCACATACCTAAATTCTATGCTACCTAGCCCTTTAAGAAAGTTTGTCAACCCCTCCCCTCACCCCCGGATTCACACCTCACTCCTAAGGTTTCTGTGAGGTTTCTCCACTGGGGCTGGTCTTGGAACTCCAAGGATTCCAAAGCACTAACTTATGGTATAATCGTTCAATGCTAAGTCTTACAAATCCTCTTCCTGTACATATACATTTTAAGTCCTCAGACAGGTGGTCTTGATGAGACCCTATCAAATGGGAGACCCCATTTCTGCCTTTCCCCACAGCTCCCTTGCCTCCTGAAATTTCATCTACCTTCAGGATTCCAACCTCTTCAACTCAGCAGGGCTGCCACTCTGCTTGGGCCCAACCTCCCCGAGATAATGCTGAAGATGTTCCCAGGCAGCATGCTCAATTGTGGAGTTCAATGTTCTGTATTTCCCTTCTCTTGAGGATCATAGTCCTGTGTTTTTCACATATATTTGTCCAGGTTTAAAATTTTTGGTGAGAGTAAATCTGGTACTACTTTGAAAGGTGCTTTTGCAAAACCAAAGATCCTAGAAAACAGATTATGACGACTCTCCTCATTGCTTTTTAAAAAAAAAAAAAAAGATTTTGAGAGAGAAAAAACGAGTGGGGGGTGGGGAAAGGCAGAGGGAAAAGCAGACTTCCCATAAAGCAGGGAGCCCTATGTGGGACTTGATCCCAGTACTTTGGGATCATGACCTGAGCCGAAGGCAGACTCCTAACCAACTGAGCCACCCAGGTGGCCTACTCATTGCCTTTTATTTGACATTCATTGAATGATCATTTTCAGGCTATGTACAATTCCCTTAACCATGCCTCATGTACAAATAGATAACATGTTGGTGATATACAACCAGGACAGTTCCTGTCTTCAAGGAGTTATCTAGTAAACCAGACAAACATCTCAATTTTTGAAATACATCTTTAGCAAGACATATGGAACTCAGAGTAATTAAAAGCAGAAGGCTAGATTTCCTCCACTCCCCGACCATATAATCCTTATTAGGGGTAGTATTATGGGAGAAATTGGGTAGACTTTATAGAAATCTAAATATTGTCAAATGGCAAAGGTCACCTTTTCTGGACTTTACTACTTAAAAACTACCATGCATTTAAATTCATTTTTATCTTAAGATCAATAATTTCAGAAATCAACTGAGTTTGATTTTATGAATTTTTCTAGAGCTATGACTTTTTGGTCCAAAAACTACACTATAATCTGGGATCATAATGTTATAGAGATTTCACCTGTGCTTTCTTATGGCTGGGCTCCCTCCAGTGAAGTTGCTTTGTATTTAGCTACCCTTAAGTCCTAAGAGAAGGTCATTCAGTGACAGCATCCAGTTGCAAAGCTTAGAAGGCACATCATGAGCACTGCAGCCTACTTACCAGACATCAGACAAGAGTGAGACATTTAAGGGTGGAAACCTCTATATTTTAATCTGAGCTTTTCATATAGTTTCATAGGAAGCATCTAATTCAGAAGAAAAAAAAAAGGTGGCTTTGCTACCTCTAATTTGTGTTGCCTAAAGGCTGTCATCCTGTCTCTTTAATTGTAAACATCTAACCAGGGGCCGGAGTCTGACCCTAAGAGTCCAAGATGTGTAGGCTCATGAGATTTGAGGCAGGAGAAATGTTTTATTTGCTTATTTCCCTGAACGGTACAGATCAGGGGTTGGCAAACATTTTCTATAAAGGGTCAGACAGTAATTTCAGGCCACATGGTCTCTGTCAAAACCACTCATCTCTGCCATGGTAGCATGGAAATAGCCATAGCCCACACACAAACAAATAGCATAGCTGCGTTCTAATAACCTTAATTTATGGGGCACCTGGGTGGCTCAGTTGTTAAGCGTCTGCCTTCGGCTCAGGTCATGATCCCAGGGTCCTGGGATTGAGCCCCGCATCAGGCTCCCTGCTCAGCGGGAAGCCTGCTTCTCCCTCTCCCACTCCCCCTGCTTGTGTTCCCTCTCCCGCTGTGCCTCTGTCAAATAAAATCTTTAAAAAAAAAAAAACTCTAACTTTTGGGTCAAATTCTAGCTGCCTGTTTTTGTAAATTAGAGTTTGCTGAACCCTGGTGTACATAAATTAAGCTAGCAAAAGTTAAACTGTGTTTTTAGTTTCATAAAAAAACAGATTTTCCTATTTTGTAAATTGCCAGTTTTACTGAGTGGTTTTCTTTCTATTGATAAGATAAAGATGTTACAAGTGACCAAAGTGGTAAAGAGGACTGCTTCTACATGCTACCTGATCAAAATGAAACTTTTCTTTTCACAGATAAACACTACAGGTAAAGACTGGTAAAAAGAAACACATTTCTGAAGTGCCTGGAAAAGAAAAGCACTGGTCAGTATCACGTGGACAAGTTCAGTGTTTTCCAAAGATGCTGTTGAAGTAGTCTTTGCTACTGCTTTTCTTCAAAGTTCTTCATAACATGGGCTGCATGAAATCAAAGCAAACTTTCCCATTTCTTACCACATTTGAGAGTGAGAAGCGACATGCAAGTGAAGAAAGCTTTATGTCTGAAGAGCGATTTCTACCTAGGATGCCTTCTCCAGTTAATGTCGAAGAGGAAGTGAAAGAACCACCAGGGCCTGAAATGGTAGTCTTAGAATTTGCACACCGCCTATCCCAGGAAATCTTGAGTGATGCCTTGCAGCAGTGGGCAGGCAATAACATCAAGTACAATGACATCCCATACATTGAGAGCGAGGGGCCTTGATGCCATAGGATGATGATAACTTTCTTGAATTGTGGATAAAGTTGGTGCTAGTTTAAACACATGAAATTATAGCAAAAACTGGTGTGAATAAATACAAATAACTCCATCTGGATGTAAAAAATGTCTGTAAGAGTATAGGAGTATCTAAAATGAAATGTTAAGCATTTTTATGTTAATAGCAATTTCTATCTGCTTGGTCTTGGGATTTGAGTCATTTAGAGGGCTAAATATAGGTCCTGCACCCCAGTAATCAGCGGTATGTCGTACCACTTTCTTCCTGAGGCACTAGTAGTATCACCAAAGAAATCAAATGGTTATTTTAAAGACACTCCTTTTAAAATAACTATTTGTTAATTTACACACAAACAAGTTATGAAAAGGATTTTTCAGATGCCTTGGCAAGGAAATGGCACTGAAGCCACAGTAATTAATAGTGGGTTGTTTGTCAAAACCATTTGTGTTAAGGATCCCTACTTAACACAAATGATCAAGCAGTAGAAAGCACCCCTTGTAGAAGTAGTCCATCTTGAAACCTGTCCTTAACTACTACCTTGAACCTCAGGGCCCTAACTAACCACAGCTGTTATTGGATGACTCAAGACTTTGCACATAAGGCATCTGAACAGGATACAATTTACAGAAGTCATGACATTAATGTTTATGGCACTGAATTAAGCAGCCCAGTGATAAAACAAGAATTTTTACAAACAGCAATCCAGTAAGTTTTAAAATAACAGAAGCCCTAGTCAAGGTAGAAAGCAGAACCTGTTTGCAGTGCTGCGTGTATATGAAATTTTACTGTCTCAGATGTAGAGGGTCGGTATAATGGGCACTCATTCCCATTTTTATTATTGACTAGTGGGGCAGTCTATGCATGAGGCTATACTGTTGCATTACAAAACAGAAGATCAAACACTCCTCCAAAAAGAGTACTTATGTATTTTTTTTTTTATGGTAACAACGCACATAAGGCATTTACAGCCATATTTTCTTAAATTTGGCTACCTTTTTGGGGAAGTTTTTTTTTTCCCCCCAAGAATCAAGTACTGTTTAAAATCAATGGTAACAGAGAATTTGGCAGTGAAGAAGATACTGAGAAAACATAACCTGTAGAAAAATTGGGACTCAGTCTCTACAATGGTCTTTTCATCCAGAATTGCTACACACTGAGTTTAGTTGGAAAGGGAATTATTTGTCTGTGTGCATTAAATTCTATTATTAAGATTCAACAGACCCTTGTCACTGACGAAGGCAGAAAGACTTGTGACCTCTTTAATGAGATAAATATATATTTGGCCTTATAAGCAGGCAGAAATGCTACCTCTAATTTTAACGACTATACTTTGAAACCTGCAAATAGAGTGAATTCTCCCAATTGCATGGACATGCCATCTTTCAGTTGCCTTTGGACACCTAGTCATTCAACTTTCATTTCCCCTAGTCCCAAGATTTGAACTGTCCTGTTGTGCTTGCAATCTAGAAACTTACAAAGTACAAAAACCACCACCCCTAAGGATCTGAAGTTCTAAGGCTAAGGAACAAAAGTCTTCTGAAAATGCAAAACACCTTTCGAGCTCATGAAGAAAAATTTAGGTTTTTGAGTATACTAATGACTCAGACAAAAGCCTAGACGTTGCCATTTTTCATTTTCTATCTCACATCAGGCCACTTTTGCTGCAAAGTCATTTACTATTTAAAAGATATATTATGGTGAGAACACAAAAGCCATAGCCACACTAAATTTTTCAGCATACACAGGGATGTAGACTGTTGAGTTTTCTTATAAATATTTAACCTCAGGTTCTGTGCCTGGGCCCCTATTTCCCAGGAGTGTAGCAGGGATGCCTGCCAGATCCACATCCCACTAGAAATCTCATCTCTGTTGCCACTCTGACAGTATGGTTTTGTCACCAAGCATCAACCCCTCGCTCCTGAATCATTTTAACAGAGTATAAGATCTTACAACATAGAATTATCTTGGAAATATGCGCTGTATTATATCAAACCAAATCAGTGAGTTAGTCAATAAACCAAGTTGGAGGCAGGCAGGAAAAAGCACCGGATAAACAAATTTGTGCTGCATGTGCTAATCATCAAGATATAGTTTGGCCTTGATGACAAAACAGATGAGAACATCTTTGATAGGATAACTTCTTTCATACCTTCATATCTAAATACTGGATTTACTTCATTTTGAACTTTCACAAACAGTAAAAGAATGGAAGATCTATTTGAGAAGGAAGGAACATATAAAACAGAAGACAAAGAATTATTAGCTACCGGAAAGGGAAACATTTGTTCCAACTTACACATTACAAACACAGATGAAATAATAGTGGCCAAATTATACGGGAAAGGAAACCGGGGAAAAAAGGGCCCAAGAAACAGCACTCACATCAGGCTCCATCAGACGACACACTGCAAAAACAAGTCTCCAGTGTTCTCGACTAAGGGAAGGGGCACAGTAGCAAGTTCCTTTCTTTACCACACGGACATGTGCCCAACCACTGAATCTTTTCCCTTGAGAACATCCAGGATAGAGGCAGATGAGCTGCCACCCATGTGACAAGGAACCTCAGATGGCAACTGTAAACGCAGATTACCAGAGAAGTGTGAACCCCACAACCGTGCTTCACTGCTCCCTTTGCCAGGTAAAGGTCTCTTGTGTGCTCTTACCTTTCAGTTGCAAAGCCTCTGATCCCAGAGTTCTCAATTTTCAGTTGCCTTATCTGTTCTTTGCAAATGACCTGTGGTCATTAGCACTCAAAGCACAATTTAAGGGGATAAAAATGATATTTGTGTCAAATTGCCTTGTTAGTATTAAAAACAGACACATTGAATGAAGGAGACAGCATGACACTCATATCCTACTTAATATCACTGGAATTTTATGAGAAGAGGGAACTATACTTTTTGTATTATATAGTTTTAGAAATCAAAGTTAGAGACACATGATAAAGTCAAGGAATAGTAAGGTAAAAACAAAGTTCCAACAAATATATTGTTTGCTTGATCATAATGCCCTCATCCTGTATTTGTGTGGCCAAACAGGACATACCTCCCTCGGAGCAGTGGGCACAAGCTCAGATGTACTCCCTGTATCTTACTTTGCAAAACTCAAGTTTTAGTAATTCTCTTCCCTGTAAGACTTAGCTATGAAATGGTATTTTTCCAAATATTTTTGTGAAAACATTTTTCCTAACCATACAATAAAAGTCTAGTTGCCATTAACCAGTTATAAGTTCTGATGAAAGCAAATGCCTTTCAATATTGTGTACTGTCAAATTTTTTGATATAAAGAATATCTTTTCTGCATTTCTAATGAATACAAAGTGGATAAAAATCCACTGATACAAATAATTTCTTGGATCATTCAGGTCCAATCTGAGAGCTTTAAGAAAATAAATGTAAACATGTCCATTGTCATGCCATCTGTATTCTAAATCTATTCTTGACTTTTTTGGGGGGAAAATGCTTCATGTTAAATATTTAGAAAATTTAAAGCAACTCCTAGATTTCAATTCCCTCATCTATAAGAAGGGTGCAGGATATAATCTTTGACGTCTTTTTCAGTTCTGCCACTTTCTGTTCTTAAAAACCAGAAATTCTCTTAGTTTCTGAATGGTCTGGGATGAAGGGAAAACTATAATAAGTCATAAAATAAATGATAAACTGATCTTTAAAGATTATTCTTACCTTGACTTTAATGTCCCAAGCCTGGAACACCCTGCAGTTTCTTGTGTACCTTAAGAAAAACTTATTTTGTCAACAGTTTTTGAACATATTTCTATTTTGAACAAAAAGCCCTTTTTATTTTCCTCCTGAATTAGTCTATGTAACAGCAAATAACTTATCACACACAAGTTTAATGTAAATTGCAGAAAGCAATGTGTCTCTATTTTAGAGACTGGAGTTTCCTAATTCCTCATTCTTTCAGATTAACAAATCCTACAAAACAACCATCACTTTCACCATAGGAAGGGATTCTGGTTAACTTTAGGGAAGACCAAAGCTGAGTTAATAATACTAGAGAGACAACCTCATAAAAACCTTTCCACTTTGCCTGAGATTGCTAATATTATAAAAGGAACACTTCTATAGTAACTTATAATTACTTTCAAACAGGTTTATATTTGCAGAAAATTCTCTGAAGCATTAACACAATAGCCAAAAAATTTCAGGGTTATTTTTTTAATAATCTATACATAAGTTTATTTACTCAACATAAAAACTACTACCCAAAGCCAAAACATAAGGCTCTCATTTCAATTAGATATTTAAGACCTTCAAATTTTCCCATTTCTATAAAACGGGTTGGCAAACATTTTCCAAAAAGGATCCGAGAGTATCTTAGGCTTTGCGGGCCTTACAGTCTCTGTTGCAACTACTCAAAGCAGCCATAGACAATATGTAAAAAGCTGAGTACAGTGATTTTCCAATAAAGCTTTATTTATGAACACTGATATTTGAATTTCATGTAATTTTCACATGTCATGACATATTAGTCTTTGTTTTTGTTTTTTTTTCCCTCAGCCATTTAAAAATGCAGAAACCATTCTTAGCTTGTGGAAAACTAAACAACAGGCAGCAGGCTGGATCTGGCCCATGTACTATGGTTTGCTGAAACTTGCTCCAAAATAATCCCTTAAAAATCTAGTCACCTTAAAATTTCAAATCGTTACTTCCCAGAGATTTAAAGTACTCATTCAAATCTTCATCAGTAACTTCTTTTAAATCAGCCGGTTTCCACTTTGGACTCTGGTCTTTATCTATTAAAACTGTCAAGTGAAGACATAAGAAATGTTAGTACATTTCTTTCAGGTATTACCAGATTTTAATTACTGAATTGACAGAAACTAACTTACCCAAGGCATATTTTCTATAGCACATTTTTTTCTGCAAAGTTAAAAATTTTTGCATGTGTTCCATTTTTAAGTTAAAGCCCCATAGGATTTGGATGGATAATAATGTACTGATGATGATCCATGGGGTTATTTCCCAACGTGCTAAGTCTAATGCCTATAGCTTGAATACAGTCTACTAATGTGGCTTAAGCCTTAGCCTTCTTCAAACAAAATCGTAAATGAAATCTTCCTGTTATAAAACAGCTAAAACCAGAGTTGGTGTGGTTTAAAGGGAAGGCAGGGGAGGGTGGAGGGCCCAGATCTGCCTTCTAAACTCCTCCACACTGAATTGAAAGGAAAATTACTTGAAGTAGAGGGAAGGGGGGATGACTCTATGCATAATTAAATGGGGATACTGCTGTTCTGCTGAATCCTCTAGTTCACACAGCTCTGAATTAAAATAGCAGACCACCTTCGGGTTATCCTAAGAAACTACTTCTCTTATTTTGGTGTAGTCATCATTTAGTGTGGCCACATAGCATCCCCAACGGATCATAAGTATGAGGCAATTGGCAAACCTCTCCTTTAAAAAGGGAAGGGGACAGGTGCCTGGGTGGTTCAGTCGTTAAGCATCTGCCTTCGGCTCAGGTCATGATCCCAGGGTTCTGGGATCAAGCCCCGCACTGGACTCCTTGCTCTGCGGGAAGCCTGCTTCTCCCTCTCCCATTCCCCCTGCTTGTGTTCCCTCTCTCGCTGTGTCTCTGTCAAATAAATAAATAAAATCTTTAAAAAATAAAAAAAATTTTAAAAAAGGGACGGGGATGTCAGTTTCCTGGTTTTGACAGTATACTACTATTATGTTATATAAACGTTACTATTTGAGAAAACTTGGTGAAAGGTACACAGGATCTTTATATATTATTTCTTACAACTGTATGTTAATTTACAGTTATCTCAAAAAATTTTTTAAAAAAGAGAAAGGGGCTATACTTAGTATGGTTATGGTAGAGAATTTTAACCATGCTTAAAATGTGCATAATTCTTGTGGATACTGGAGGGTTTTTTGTTTTTTGGGTTTTTTTTTAAAGATTTTATTCACTTATTTGACAGAGAGAGACACAGCGAGAGAGAGAACACAAGCAGGGGGAGTGGGAGAGGGAGAAGCAGGCCTCCCGCTGAGCAGGGAGCCTGATATGGGACTCGATCCCAGGACCCTGGGACCATGACCTGAGCCGAAGGCAGACGCTTAATGACTGAGCCACCCAGGCGCCCCTGTTTTGTTTTGTTTTGTTTTTTAAGACTGATTTATTTGAGAGAGTGAGCAAACAAGGAGGGAGGAGGGGCCAAGGGAGAGGAAGAGAGCATCTCAAGCAGACTCCCATTGAGGGTGGAGCCTGATGCAGGGCTCAATCTTAGGACCCTTGAGATCTGACCTGACCCAAACCAAGAGTCAGATACTTTAACTGCCTGCACCACTGGAGGTTTTCAAGGCTGGGCTGCCTAGCTACAGGATTCTAGCCGGTATCAGATCAGTGGTAACACTGATATTATGATCCCTGCCAATTTGACAGTTTTACATTCCCCGAAGAGCACAAATAAAAACAATTCTGGAACATTCTTTCTTCAAGAATCTCTTCCCTTTTAAGCCCTCTGGCCAATGCTATCATGGTATCTACCTCCTTGACAGTCTGCTGAAGGGCAAAAGGAAAGAATATTAATAAAATCTATATGTTTTCACACAGACATAATTTTTTACTTAGCACAGATAATAAGAAGTTCCTGCCATGTAGACAGCTCAGGTTTTTTCAAGTCTCATGAGGGACCCACTCAAATTCCTTTTGGTAACTCTCTAGTTCTGCTGAAATCTGTATTTTCTTCTATAACCAGGAAGAAGCTTATTCTAGCTGTTAAGAGTAAGAATTTTTGACAACCATTCCCCTAATTTGCTAGTTTATTTTATCTAATTTGCTAACATATTTTATAATTAGCAAACTGTAGCAAACATTTGGTTATTATGCAAGAACACCAAACAGTTTTACCCAGAATAGATGCTGCTTGCAAAATAGGGAGGTTATGTTAAAAGATGAGGCAGTATACTTTCTCTTCATTAAAAAGTAGCTTGATAAGCTCCTGTGTTATGAATCATAACTTTGGTGCTGCTTGGTCTCAACTGTGTCCATTAAATAATTGACAGTATATATGAAAACAGTATCTTTGTTTTTTAAGTTTAAGAGGGCTGCTACAACATATAATGATGCATTGAAACCCAAGTAGCACACAGGTCCCCCTAATATCAGAGGTCTAGGCTCTGATCCACATGTAGCAAGAATTTGCAGGGAATTAGTGTAAAAAATGCGTATTTTACTTGTTTTTATAAAACATACAGCCATCTCCTCTGACTCAATTCCCTGGATCATCTAAAAGGATTTGAACCCCTGCTTATTTCTGATACTATATCATGCCGTAAGTTAAGAGCATTCTACAACAGTGACCAGTCTATCAAAGCTTACAGCTCAGAGAATATAATCTTTTATTCAGATAAAGTACATAAGAGTCTCTACTACATTAAAGCGATCAATAAAAACATTAAAAAATTAGGTATGCAAAACACATGCAAAGGGAAAAACTCATTTTATGCAACATAAATAACAACTATTATTTATGAGGATATGGGCTTTATACGTAAACTGTTTTGCAAATTTGCTAAGAACAAAAAATAAACTATTTCCCTTTTTCTAAATATGCTGACTTTGGAGATGATAAACAAATTAATAAGAACATTAGCAGATGTTACTAATTATGTCCTGTGTTTTTTTCTCAATGTTTAACCGCTTGGGTACAGGGAAAGAGGTTACGGTAGGGCTCAATGCTGCTGGGAATGGCCAGGCCAGTACTAGAGAGAGGAGGGGTAGGGGACTTGAGGGCTTCTTGCAAGGGAATAAATGCACTTTTCCAAGGCTCCAGCAGCCAAATGAGTTTTCAAGCCCAGCTATACTTAGCAGAGGCAGTCCATGGGACTGGCAAAGCAGAATTACCTCTTACATATAAATTATAGGGAGCGGTGACACAGGTTAGGTGAATTTTTCAAACAATATTGGTTTCAAAGACCAATATTCCCTTATGTGCCAGTTGGTAATATAAAAAAGCAACAACTCTGCAATCTTTATGAAAGTGGAATTTTCACTAATAAAACAACTATCATCTTTGATTAACAGTATATGCTTAAAATCCTATTTTCATAATAGCCAGGAAGAAAACAATCATCACTTACCTGCCCTAACACCTTCATAAAAGTCATGGCCTCCCTGAAAGAAAATTTAGATTAAATGGTGAATTTCCAGGCATCTTTATTCCCAGTGATGATCTGTCTCCTCCACTCCCACAGCCACAGCCCGAAATAAACAGAGACTGGACCACTTTTATGACCCACTCTCTTGATCACCACCTCCGATTCTTAACTGCTCAAGTACATTCACTGTTGTGCCACTGATCCTACAATTTTTTCACCACTTACTTTATTGTGGTCACTTTCCCTTGAAAATGCCCTCATCTCCCTCAAGGCTTTTTCTCCCCTTTAGTCCATCTTGGCAAAATCCCAGCACCAGTTGCCCCTACCATTTGCCTCTGCCTGCTTTTGAGGAGCTAAATCTTGCTGCAGAAAAATCTGTGATTGGTTTCATTTAAAATTCATGACCACACATCTCAAACGGGCATGGAAAACTACCCAACGATCCATGTTTTCTTCTCCACTTCCCAAGATAATGATTTTAACTGTCTTCAGCCTTCTCCAACCTCCACCCCTCACAAATTTTACTCTCACCATTAGCTAATGATTTAACCTTCTATTTCATTACAAAAAGAGAAGCTCTAAGCCATGAACATTCTCTTCTTCCCACCCCTAAAATACCTGCAGCCCAACTACACCCATCTGTACCATGCCTTCCCTTTCCTGACTACGGAGAAAGAGACCATCCCTCTTTCAAAGGCCTGTTCTCCCCCACATTCCCACTCACATCTCCTCTTCTCAAGGACTGTGCTTGAGAAGGTTATCTATCTCTATTTTTACCCCTGGCATCATCAATGTAGGCAGCATAACTCAGTGACTGACTGTAGTTCAAATGTCTGGGCTCAGATGAATGGATAAAAAAGATGTGGTATATATATACAATGGAATACTACTCAACCATCAAAAAAGAAAGAAATCTTCCCATTTGCAACAACGTGGATGGAACTAGAGGGTATTATGCTAAGCGAAGTCAGTCAGAGAAAAGACAATTATCATATGATCTCACTGATATGCAGAATTTAAGAAACAAAAGAGAGGATCATAGGGGAAGGGAAGGAAAAATAAAACAAGATGAAACCAGAGAGGGAGACAAACCGTAAGAGCCTCTTAATCATAGGAAACATACTGAGGGTTGCTGGAGGGGAGGTGGGTGGAGGGATGGAGTAACTGGGTGATAGACACTAAGGAGGGCACATGATGTAATGGGCACTGGGTGTTATATGCAACTGATGAATCACTGACCTCTACCTCATATGTTAATTAAAAAAAAAAAAAAAAAACAAATGTCTGGGCTCACCCACTCCCTCTACTACACAGTAACGAAGTGACCCTGGGCTAGTAGCTTCCCTAATGCCAAGTTTCCTTATATGAAATGGCAGTATCAATACATGCATTGGAGGATTATCTTACTGCACATCCCAGCACAGCGTCTGACACACAGTAAGTGTTCAGTAACTGTTAACTACTATTGGTATCAACATCATCTTTTTTCTCTGAGTCATTCCCTAACATGTTCTAGTATCTTCCACCTTACAAAACAACACGGAATCTCACTTGATTCCACAGTCCCCGCTTCTACCTATTTGTTTCAAGAAGAAAAAGTTTTGTACATATAGCCTCCACTTGTCCATATCCCATTTACTCATTTACTCTCCAACTCGCCACACTCGAACTTCTGCCCCAATGCTCCTCTGAAACAGCTTGCCAAAATCCCCTGGACTTTCAGTGTTGCCATATGCTAAAGATGTCTTTATCCTACCCTACCAGACACTTTGGCACCATACTCCCTCCTCCTTGAAACACTCATTTCTTCCTTTCACGACCCCACACTCTCCTGGTGTTCCCACCTCTGTCCTTTTTCTCTTCCACTGCTCCTTTTCCTCTAACCCACTCAAAATGCTGGTCTTCTTGGGGCTCAGATCCAGCTCTCTCATTTTCCCTCTGTAAGATCTTATCCATTCTAAGATCATGTCACTCCTCTACTCAAAAATATCCAGTGGCTTCCCATTTGACTCAGAACAAAAGCCAAAGTTTTATGAAGACCTTCCAGGCTACAGGTGCTCTGCACAGCCCTTCTCTACCCTGTTAACTCTGACCCCATCTCTCTCACTCACCGACCCACTTCTCTGCCCACTCCATCCACAGCTCTCTGCAGCTCCAAGGACAGGCAGGCACACTCCTGCCTCAGAGCTTTGTACCTGCCTCTGCCTGGACGCTCCTCCCCAGAGCCTTGCACAGCTCATTTCCTCACTTCCTTCAGGTTTTCACTCAAACAACATCTTCTTAGTCAGGTCTTCTCTGGTAAATCCTATCTATAAGTTCAGTCACACAACCCCCCCCGACCCCTTTATGCCATATCCTCCTGCCCACTTTACTTTTGCTCCTTAGTACTTATATGCTGTATATTTTACAATTTTATCTGTTTACAATCTATCTCCCCCACTAGAAGGTAAGTTCCATGAGGGGAGGGATTTTGTCTATTTTGTTTACCTATGCATTCTTGGTGCCTCTAACAGTGCCTAGCACATGGTAAGTAAATTTGTTAAGTAAATAAATATCCAAAGTTTTTTTAAAAAGATTTTATTTATTCATAGAGAGAGAGAAAGAGCGAGCATGCACGTGAGCAGGGGGAGGGGCAGAGGGAGAGAGAGAGAATCTCAAGCAGACCACTGAGCACGGAGCCCAACTCGGGGACTCAGGGCTCGATCTCATGACCCATGATGACCTGAGCTGAAATCAAGAGGCGGATGTTTAACCGAATAAGCCACCTAAGCACCCCTCCGAAGTTTCTTTTTTTAAAAAGTGGTCCTAATGTCTTTCAGACTTAAATCTCTAATCCACACCTCCAAGCTCCAACCCCTAAATGCACTCTTTCCTTCCTCCACATTCATCATCAAGGCCTATCAATTCTATCTCCTACACTGGTCCTCGAAACCATTCGCTTCTCTCTAGGGCCACCACCCTTGTCTAAGCCACTACCACTTCACAGCTGGATTACTGCAATAAGCTCATATCTGGTCTCTACATTCACTCTTGAATGCTTCCAACCCCATCTCCATCCAGCAGCAACAATTACCTTCTTTTTTTTTTTTTTTTTTAAAGATTTTATTTATTTATTTGAGAGAGAGAGCACACGAGAGGGGGGAGGGTCAGAGAGAGAAGCGGACTCCCTGCCGAGAAGGGAGCCCGATGTGGGACTCGATCCCAGGACTCCAGGATCATGACCTGAGCCGAAGGCAGTTGCTTAACCAACTGAGCCACCCAGGCGCCCAACAATTACCTTCTTAAAGCAAATGGAACCAAATCATCCACTGCTGTAACCCATAGGACTTCTCAACATACTCACTTCTTATGCTTTAGGTCACAGAGGAGCTGACACCTCAAAGACGTCTTCCCTTTGTCTCTCCTACTCCCTCCTGTCCTTGCATCATTCTCTTCTATCATCAACCTGAATGTTTCCTTTGGAGCACTAACCACAATTGTACTTATTTTACTTATTTTGTTTACTTGTTCTTCATAGTCTCAGTAGACTATAAATTCCATGAGAACAAGGACTGGTTATTCTTTCCACAACATAACACCTAGCACAGTGCCTGGCAACATAGCTAACATATTTGCTGAAGGAAGGAAGGAACTGATCAATCCAGGCAGTGCAATAAATGTACAGTGGAAAACATAGACTGTGAGGTATAGTGGGTAGTGGCCAAGAGTACAGGCTCTGGAGTGAGCCCACCTGGTTTCACACACCATGTGTCTGCCACTTAATACCTATACCCCCTTAGGCAGGCTACTTCTCTATGCCAGTTCCCTCATCTGTAAAGTGGAGACAAGAATAGTACCTATCATTCTAGAAATAGTGTAAAATTTAATGGAGAGGATACATATAAAATGCCTGTCATAGTACTTCTCTTAACAATAGCCCTCAGCTGCTACTTACATCCTACTAGGAGTGACTTTAAGATTAAAGTGACTAAGAGAGTTTTATTTATAGTTAGATGAACTACTTTGAATACCTTAATAACTATTTCAAGACACGAAAGTCCATTAGGGAGACCTACTTTCTAGTTACTAAACAAAATATTTCCTTTAGGCCATAAATTAATCTAAGGGTCCTCTACATAACACAAAAGCGACGATTCTGCTTTCAAAGAGTTTACCACCTAGAAGAAGAAATCTCTAAGACTCTGAAATGTTTCATAAAATTAATATTCTATGTGATTCGTCTATTTTAAGTGTATTTACAATGGTATTTTCAATGCTAATCTACTAATTAAAATATGTAACTAATAACACCCATTCATACATTTTATATATACATATATTCCTCGTTTTACCAATGAGGGAATTCAGATTTACAGAATTTATGCTTCTTGCCTCAAGGTCAGAGACCGTGCCTGAAAAATGGTTAATTTCTATTTTGAATTCCACCCGAGATTAAAAGCTTTCTTACACTTACACACAAATATAGTTGCTGTTTCGTAAAGGCTTAAGAACAATGCGAGAGCAATAGTTCCACATACCTTAAGCTAATTGGCCTGTTGTGTGTCCACAGAGTATATTTACAAGTAGTTTTAAGGTTTTTGTTTATAGTTTTCTGTATTTTACATGCTCTACAATGAACATCTATTACTTTCATAAAGAGAAAATAAGCATTTTTAAAATTCTTACCATACAAGCTTGACTCAGCCGATATTCCATAGTTAATACTTCTTGCAAGGTCTTTGAAGACCCCTCTATGAGTTGCCTTAGTGTGATCTTTAGGGATGTTGGAGACATTTTACTAATTACCTATGAGAGAAAAAAAAAATTTTTTTTACAAGTTTTAGCCCGAGTTCCTTTATTGTCTAAAACAAACTAGCTGAGTTTTGACATAAATCTTATTTGCTCCTTAAACAGTACTTTCACATGACAGTTTCATAAAAGTGAGATTATGCTGTAGCCTCATCCTGTCAAAGCACCAATGGTTTTCTAATCTCTTTTAATAACAAAACAGATCATCCCACCAGTGGAATAAATGCTGTACCGATAAATTAATAAAATAAATCTCTATTTTGTAGCTGCCTGACATATTATGATCCCAACTAGGTAAGCAAACAGTGATTATGCTTAAGTAAAATTAATACACATCTTACAAACAACTAAGATATCAGAGAACATTTTACCTTATAAAGAAGGTAGAGTAGAAATATAGCTCTTTCCTTCCCATTTTGTGACTATAGAGAAGTGTCTGAACTGAACTATAGACTTTATAAATAAATCTACTTACCTTAAAAGTAAGGAGAGAAAACAATTCACGATACCATGAGGTGGTGTTCTATAGTATTTAAATATTTAATAAAGTAAGAATAACAGGCCTGACTCCTTGGCCACAGTGCCATGCACCCCTTCCTTTTGAATTTAAAGATGCTATTACTAGTGTTCTGACACACATGTATGACTGTGACCAATAGCTGCTGCTAGAGCTCCATTATATGCTATGTAAATCTGATGCTTGCCCTGTTCTTTACCATTGCTATATACAGTTTTCAGGCCTGTTGTTGAGTGATTGCCTCAAAGGTGGAAATTTTACTTTCTGAGTTCAAAGAATTCCTCACATCAAGACTCCAGGTTCCTTGTAGCATCCTCAAGTGTGGCATGCAGATTCAGAGAACAGACTGAATGGATAGGGCATTACCTTACCTAGCAGCTGCTAAAACTTAAATAGATGACAACTGTACAGGAAACATTCAAGGAAGATCACTTCCCTACCTACAGTCACAAAGCTGAAGAAAAGGTGAGAAAGAGAGAAAAGCAATTAAGGCTTTTTATGCATCTGATTCATCTTCATAGGAACTCACCCTTCTGCCCTCAGTACTGTATGCACATGATCTCATTTAATGCCCCTGGAGCAATCCCACTCCATGGTCTCGCCCTTCTGGTTACAGACCATGAGGATGACGGCACCTGCACAGCAGTCTGCATACTGTGTTAGGAGGCCCCTCCTTTCCACAGGCAAGTAGACAAGGGGTCCATTTGCTGACAAAACCACTAGTTTTCTCTAGCAAGAGCAGTGCCCACATGATCACAGGTCAACAGCTGGAAGAACTTCATTCACAATGCTGAAAGGTGTACTTAAAGGATTGACATAGCCACCTTCTATCTTTTCTAGTCTACAAAGTCAATGAAGCTATGATTCCCTTTCCAAAAGGCTGTAGTATATAACACACAATCATGTACCTCAGAACTACCGTTATGGCTAGTTGCCTGTGTCCTCCTTCTTGGTTTGGCACTTTATATATAATCTAGAATTCTCAAAACACAAACTCTGTCTTTGCTATACTTCCTCAGTTGGCTACCAATTAATTTCATTAAAAAGGTCACTTAGGGGCGCCTGGGTGGCTCAGTCGTTAAATGTCTGCCTTTGGCTCAGGTCATGACCCTGGGGCGTTGAGCTCCCTGCAGAGCCTGCTTCTCCCTCTCCCACTCCCCCTGCTTGTGTCTCCTTTCTCGCTCTCTCTCTAATAAATAAATAAATAAAATCTTAAAAAAAAGACCACTTAATAAGAAAATCATCCCACTTACAATTGCACCAAAAATAATAAAATACCTAGGAATAAACTTAACCAAGGAGGTGAAAGACCTGTATGCTGAAAACTATAAAACACTGATGAAAGAAACTGAAGATGACACAAACAAATGGAGAGAGATTCCATGCTCATGGATTAGAAAAACCAATATTGTTAAAATGTCCATACTACCCAAAGCAATCTACAGATTTAATGCAATCCCTATCAAAATACCAACAGCATTTTCCAAAGAAATAGAATAATGTTAAAATTCATATGGACCCGCAAAGACCTCAAATAGCCAAAGCAATCTTGAGAAAAAAGATTGAAGCTTGGAGGTATTACAATCCCAGATTTTAAGATAATACTACAAAGCTGTAGTAATCAAAACAGTATGGTACTGGCACAAAAATAAACAGATCAATGGAACAGAAAGAGACTCTAGAAATAAACCCACACTTATATAGTCAATTAACCTACAAGAAATGAGGCAAGAATATACGATGGGGAAAAGACAGACTCTTTAATAAATGGTGTTGGGAAAACTGGACAGCTGCATGCAAAAGAAAGAAACAGGACCACTTTCTTACAGCAGATAAAAAATAAGCTCAAAATGGACCAAAGACCTAAATGTGATACCTGAAACCATAAAACCCCTAAAAGAAAACATAGGCAGTAATTCTGACACTGACAGTAGAAACATTTTTCTAGATTTGTCTCCTACAGCAAGGGAAACAATAGCAAAAATAAATTAGCAGGACTACACCAAAATAAAAAGCTTTTGCACAGTGAAGGAGACCATCAACAAAATGACAAGGCAACCTACTGAATGGGGGAAGATAACTGCAAATAATATATCCAATAAGGGATTAATATCCAAAATATATAAAGAATTTATACAACTCAACACAAAAACAATCCAATTAAAAAACAGGCAAAAGACACAAACAGACATTTTTCCAAAGAAGACATACACATGGCCAACAAACACATGAAAAGATATTCAACAATCAGCAGTGAAATGCAAATCAAAACCACCATGAGATATCACTGTACACCTGTCAGAATAGCCAGTGTCAAAAAGATAAGAAACAAGTGTTGGCGAGGATGTGAAGAAAAAGGAACCCTCATGCACTGCTGGCAGGAATGCAAACTGGTGTAGCCACTGTGGAAAACATTATGGAGATTCCTCAAAAAATTAAAAATAGAATTGCCATATGATCCAGTAATCCCACTACTAGGTACTTATACCCAAAGAAAACAAAAACACTAATTTGAAAAGATACATGCACCCCTGTTTATTGCAACATTATTTACAATAGCCAAGATACGGAAGCAACCCAAGTGTCCATCAATAGCTGAATGAATAAAAAAGATGTGGTATGTATATACAATGGAATATTACCCAGCTATAAAAAAAAATGAGATCTTGACTTTTGCAACAACATGGATGGACCTCGTGCATATAACGCTAAGTGAAATAAGTCTGAGAAAAGGAAATACCATATGATTTCACTCATGTGGTATATAAGAAAGAAAACAAATGAACAAAGAGAAAAAGAAAAATAAAAAAACAGACTTAAACACAGAGAACTTGTGGTTGTTGGGGGGGGGGGGGGGGGGGGGGGGTGGAGGAATGGATGAAACAGACAGGAAAAAATGGCCATGTAAGGGCTCCAGTTGTTTGTGCTTATGTCACACACACATAAATACACTAGGGAAAAAAAGGGAAGAAAATTTCAATTGAAAAGGAAGGGAAAAATGAAGGGTGGGGAATTGGAGGGGGAGACAAACCATGAGAGACTATGGACTCTGAGAAACAAACTGGGGGTTCTAGAGGGGAGGGGGATGGGGGATGGGTTAGCCTGGTGATGGGTATTAAAGAGGGCATGTATTGAATGGAGCACTGGGTGTTATATGCAAACAATGAATCATGGAACACTACCTCAAAAACTAATGATGTAATGTATGGCGATTAACATAATAAAATAAAATTTAAAAATAAAAGTAATAATAGAAAAAAAAGCTCCACTGATTCAGACATTTCATGAATTAGTAATTAAAGAGATTTCCTTTTAACAGACACCATATTACAAAAATAGTGCATTGAGAACCCAAGGAAAACTAGTTTCCAAAAATTCTTAGATATACTGGCAATTTAGCACAGAGACTCAGGGTTTGAACTCTACAGTCCAACAACTCAGTGGTAGAATTCCAGCTCTACCACTTCCTACATGATTAATCTTAGTTTCCTCATTTGTAAAATGGAAATTGTATACCACCCACCTCAAAAATGGATAGTGCAAGGTGTCAGAAACCAAGCCAAATAGGGAAGGGAAGGGAAGGGATGGCATATATGTATGGAGCACATTTCCCTTAGCTCTCAGTTAAAGATGTTCACACGTATGTACACTGTACAAATGAGGAAACCAGCCTGATAAGAATTTATCCAAGATCACACAGAGTGGAATCCAAACCCAAGCCTGACAACTCCAAAGCCTACTTCTTTCTACATGCAAGGCTATAAAGGTAATCAATGCCAAAGGCTGACGAAACGTCAAAAATAACAAAGATGGAGAAGACATTATGTCAGGTGGTAGAAAGAAGTTAATAAAAACTTACTTGTGTAATTTTGATGGCAAGGGGGGGAAAGACAAAGTCAGGATGCTGTAGCTTCAGGAAAAACTGTTAAGAGAAGGCTTTTTGTGAGAGTAGGAAAGCTTTTGAAGATAAGGGCAGAAGGAAATGTGCATTTACCCAAGAAGGTAAAATTTTAAAGATAACTGAAAGAGGGAGAGGACTGATGCCAAGTAGTTCCTAAATGAGGCAGGAAAGGATGGAATGAAAGCACAGATGGGGATGTTTCCCTCGGCAAGAAAGTGAGACACATGTTAGAGGAATCAAAAGGATGAATGAAGAAAGTTAAAGGAGCTCATGAATTATAGCCTCATTCATTAAACAGGGAACACAGAGACTCTTCCAGAAAACTGAATAAATGATTAGGACTTGGATCTTCAACTATGTCAGAAATGTGTATGGATACGATCCTGCAACCACACAACCTGGTGAACATATTTCTACTTCCTGGTAAAACATTGGTTAGTGTTATAACTAAATTATCTGACCCTTTAAAAATTAGCTGTCTCATGTATACCAAAGAGCCAACTTTTTTCCTTTATTTGTATCAAATAATTCACATTCTCAATTCAATATTAGTGAGCATCTACTATGCATGAGACACTT